CAGGGGCCGCCCCCCCCCCCCCTGCCTCTCACAACAGGAAGTCGGCGCCGCGGCTGCACTTCCTCTTCCGGCGCGTCACTTCCGAGGACGCTGTCTTTCAGGGAAGGGCGAGCTGGCGGCGGGCGTGCTTGGGGGGCCCTTGGGGTCCCCCCTCCCCCCGCGCGCCCCCCGTCGCCCTCGGACTCGTGGAAGCAGGGACGGGAGGGGAGGAGTGCGAGGTCTGGCGTGTGAGCCTCGCTGAGCGACTCGGCACGTCGGCGGCCACGGAAGCGATCAGGGCACCGTCCTGGGCCGCCGGCCCGTGGGATGACGGGAGGCAGGTGCGCTTAAGCTCGGGCTTGTTCATCCCACCTGTGAAATGGGAGGCTGCCTGGCGAGATGCCGGGGATTCTGGGACTATCGAGTGACGCTTAAGTTACGGATCCTTCCTACTCCGTTTGCAGGGGCAGAGTGTAGCGCCCTCACGTTCAGGAAGCCTGGCACTAAGTTCGCTAGGACACCTCTCCCTGAGTCGGGACGTCTCGGAGCCCAGACGTGGGAGGTAGTGCGGGCTGTTTTCTACAGTTCCTTGCGCTGAATTGTGTGCCGCCTGAGTCCAAGCCCTTGTGGGCATGCTTGCCTTTCAGAACAAGAGAAGGTTCGATCTCAAGTGAATTTCTACTACGAAAGTTCATGGGGACTTATTTTAGTCATTACTCCACGTCACCGCCAGTCTTGTAAGCACAGAGCTGTTCAGGGTATGTAAAGTTTGGGACTGATGAAGGATCCTTGGCATGATTTTGATATAGCGCTAATAACTGTGGGTATTGATTCCCTTCTGAGCTGGCCGCTAAGTGAGGGCCTAATTGAAAGCATGTGGAAGCACGAGTATAAACTTGCCAACACACACAAAGGCTATTTCAGTAGCTATAATTTTTTTTGGATTACTGTAGTTTAGTTAAGCACACAGCTCCAAGCCAAACTACGTTTCTCTTTCCACTGCGCCGGCTGCTTTATAACACTTAAGGCACTGTGATTTTCAAATAGTTCTTAAAGCCACAGCTTATTCAGGAGGACCCTCGAGCAGAACAACCCCTCCAAGTTGAAGGATTGCCAGGAAATACACTGTTTAAAAGTTCTTGCTGGAGCCAGCAGGTGGAGTAGTGGTTAAGGCGCTGGAGTCGCCTGGTCAGCCACCATTGGAGTCACAGACTTGGCTTGAAACTCAGGCTGGGGGCGTGTACATGCATGCCCAGAATCCCAAGAAGAGAATACAGGAGAAGGGACTGCAGTGTGGTCATCTCCCCCTGGGAGGGGGAAGTGATTTCTCACTTTCTCCAGAGAGCACACACACCCTACAGCAAAGAAAAAAAAATTTCTTGCTAAAAATAATTTTTTAAACTTTAAAAATAATTGATAAGAGCCATCCAATAGGTGGTGATTGGTGGGGCTAGATCCCACATGACTGAATTCACAGTTTGGTCCTGCCAGGCCAGCGTCTTGAAAGATACATCAGGACCTGTGCGTGGTACCCCAAATCCTGAAAAGACAAAGGATTGCAATGTGGCCATCTCCCATAGTGGGTGCTTTCTCATTTTCCTTCTATTTCTCCTGCTGGCTGGCACATGAGCCCTCCGACAAATAAAAAAATAATAATAAAATACAGTCTCTTCATTTTGCACTTAAGCCACTTAAAATGAAATACAAAATATCCTGGGTGCTATATAAATTATATGAAAAAAAAAACCTCCCCTTAAATAAAGTAGGCATCACTTGGTGACTTTACAAATCAAAATTTATTATATTTGTTATTCTTGATTTTTAAAGTGAACAATGTAAATTGGAAAGTAAAAGTTTTTTGTTTGTTTTGTTTTTTTTTGCTACAGTATCAAAAAAGCATTTTAATCCATGCCCCACTAAAAATCATAACAAGTAAAGGTACTGCATGATTTAGGAGAAATGAAAAACTGAAAGTTAACAGAGAAACATCATGAATATCAAATTATCACCAAATCACAGGGAGGGGGTTGGTGGTGGCACTGTCTGACTTACAGTTGGGACTTAGAGCATGATTGCTCATATGTAAGACTCAAGGAGCTCTTGGACAGAATTAATTCTGCATAGTGCCCTTGTAGAGGACAAAGACTATTACTCATCTTTGAATATTTAAATTCTAGCACAGTACCTGGATAACAGTAGGTGCTCAATAAATAGTTGTATCAACACGGGTTCCTTTTATAATTAATATAGTGAGTTCTTGGTAATTCATCTACTGTATAGTATTTCTTGGATAGGTTACTGTTCAACAGCATATTAGAAATCCAATATTATGAATTACCTAATTTCTTATTGGATTATAGGAAAAATCATCATGCACTTTCTCATTAAAAAAAAGAAAAATACATCATGATTTTTCTGACACCCAGTATTAATAGATATTAGAAAAGGCTAGGGCTTTTTCAAAGAATTATTTATTTATTTATTTAATTCTATTTGTTATTATTACTTTTCAGTTTGACTAGAGAGAGAGAGAGAGAAAAGGACTTGAACCACAGGCAGCCAATGTGGGAACCCAGTGCCCCCAGCCACCACGCCATCCGCCAGCCCCCAGCCCCTGAAAAGGTTAGTTTGAAAAATAAGAGGGGCCAGTCAGGGGCATGATGGGTCCCCATAGTCATGTGGACTCCCACATGACTGCGCGGTTCAAGTTCCGGACCTGGCAGCTTGAAAATCATACTGGGCACAGGTGCGTGCATGCTTGGTGTGGCTATGCCCCCTCACTTTCCCTCTCATTGTTAATTCCTCACTTTCCCTCATTGTCTCTGTCTCTCTGGCAAGCACACTCACCCTATGGCAGAAACAAAAAGTAAATAAAATAAAAATTAAACAAGAAATGGTTCTTTCAGTTCTAATTTCCTATTTCATACGAAAGGATAATAAGGATATATTGTTAAGAGTTTACCAAAATAGTCTACCTGTGTGTTGAAATTACACAGAACTAATGTACCTCTTCAAAAGTCCAACATTTTTTATTCAATTAACTCTGATAGAACTCTTTCTAGGCATATCTTCTTTTTCAAACATGGGATACAGAATATATTTTCACTTTATGACTGAAGTTTATCATTATCAGCATCCATGATACGAAATCAGCCTTAGCTATTTCCTCTATCTGGGATGTGTCTGCCCTTGTAAACCACCTAGCACCTCTCTCTTTGGCTGTTCGATTCTTTCAAAGCACCCTGCACTTCTTCACAGGACTTCCTACACTTGCCTCTGTACATCTGCAGTCTGCTCACAGACTGGATTCTGTTTCCTATACTACATCCTGAGGACCATGAGGGCTTGCACCTAGGCCAGGCCTGTTCACCATAAGTGCCTGCCCTGGAGGTTCCTGATAAAAACTAGATGACTGACTAAACAAACACCTACCTCACTGAATACCTGCCTCTGCCACTTGCTGAGACAAGTCTGGGAAGCTAGGTAATCAGTCTGTCTAAAGACTATCTTTAACAAAAAGAAGGAAGCCCTACATGAGAATGGATATAATCCTTTCGTAGTAGACACGGCCCCAGCTTTAGGTCTTGGGATAACTATTTTGGCATTTAGGCCTTTTCTCCCTTTGAGCTCTTAGACAAAGTAGAGTTTGTATGGGTAACTGCCCCTTGGTAAGCATGAGATTTGGGACCTAAATCTCACTTTCTTCCTCTATACAATGATACTGCTAATAGTCACTACTTCAGTAGTTACTGTGAGGATTAGTGGGTTACTGTGAGGATTCCATAAAATAACAGTGCTGGGACCAGCAGTTAGTGTAATGGCTATGTCACTGAACTCCCATGTAGTTGACCACAGTTCGAGTCCCAGACCTGGTGGCTTAAGTTTACGCTGGGCACGTGTGCCCAAGATCCCGAGAGGAGACTGGAGGAGAAGGGATTGCGGCATGGCCATCCCCCCGGAGGGGGGGCTGATTTCTCGCTGTCTCTCTCTCTCTTTCTGGCGAGTACACACGCCCTATAGCAAAAACCTCTCCAAAACAAGAAAAAAAAAAAAAAAGTGCTCATCATGCTGCTCTGTACACTGTGCACAGGAAGTGCTGGGGGCAATGGCGGTGCAGTGGGAACCAATTCTCTGCGAGGCTGACACCAGGGAATTCCAGGCTCACATCCAGAGACCTCCCTAGGCACACCGCCCACTTGCACCTGTAATCGGGCTGGCTGAGGCTGGAGTGGATTGCAGTGTGATGACCCTGTCTGGGGGGCCTGTCTGACTGTCTTTATTGGTCATAGAAGATAAAGAAGTATTGATGTTGGGACCAGCAGTTGGTGTAATGGCTATGTCGCTGGACTCCCATGTAGTCAACCGCGGTTCAAGTCCTGGACCCGGTGGCTTAAACTCACACCGGATGCGTGTGCGTGCGTGCCCAAGATCCCGAGAGGAGAATGGAGGAAAAGGGACTGCGGCGTGGCCATCCCCCCTAGGGGGGTGATTTCTTGCTTTCTGTCTCTCTGTCTCTCTCTGTCTTTCAGGCAAGCGCACATGCCCTATAGCAAAAAAAAGTATTGATGTTAGCTGTCACTATCACATGTCACAGTAGTCTCTCTCTCTCCAATGGAAAAAATGGATGGATGGATTTCAGGGAAAAAAACTCAGGCATGTTCACCAAGGAAGGAAAGGAAGTCCCACTGGAAATTAAAATATACTTTTTTTTCATATATTAATTTTACTTTCCCTCTACTATTTTAAAATACATTTAAAATCCTTTTCCAGTTTTTGGTAGCTAGTGGATTTAGAAAAAATAAAATAAAAGGCTTTACATTACTACCAAGTGTATTTAAAAAACAAGAAACAAAGAACTGATATCTTAAGCTGTGGATCCCTTGAGTGTACATCTAGCACATATGGTAAACCTATACTGATCTTCAGTTTATCATGTTCATTGCCAACAGTAATTTTCTTTAAAAATGTATTGCTTTAAAAAAAAAAAAAAGAAAAATACAGAGAAAAAAAAAATGTATTGCTTTCAAAAGATCCCCAAAGTGCTAAATGTACTTTTAGTTTAGGCTGGACAACTCAAAATAATGCGTATTGCAGATAGACGTTTATCTCTGCTAAGGATTTAAAGAACAGTATAGATACTTCAAGAACCCCAAAGAAAATTGAGTGTCCCCACTCCTCCATGTCTAACTCCTTAGGGATTCAAATTACAAAGCTAACCAAGAAACCATCTACCTTAACCAAGCAGCCTGTGAGGATATAAGATACAGAAGTTCTTGAAGCTGTAAATGTTGGCGGAATTGAATCACCTTTTCTGTCAGGTAACTGCCCTTGAGAATCAAAGTTTTAACTGTTGTTGGAGACCATGGATTGAGGCTGCGCTGCTCTGGAGCTTCTCAGTCACCGTATCTTCTTTCACTGTGGCTTTGATGACTTCGGATACCCCGTTAGTTCCAAGGATGCAAGGCAAACTTAAAAATACTTCACTGTTTATATCATAATATCCCTGAAATGAAAAAAAAAAGAGATTATAATAGAGTTGAATCACTACAAAAGAAGTCAATATAAAAATGCACACTTTCTCTGATTTTTTTTCAAATTTGCCACAGCATACATGACCTTGGCAGAGAGGAAGAGAGAAACGGGGGTGGGAGGGAGTGGGAAATTACCCTCCAAGGGAGTGGTTATACCACAATCCCTTCTCTTCCATTCCTTGTTTCTTTTGGGATCTTGGGTATGCACACACACATACTTGGCACGGTTCTCAAGCCACCAGGTCTGGGAATTGAACCATGCAGTCGGCCACATGAGATCCAGCTGCCTTAGCCACCACATCACCAGCTGGCCCAAAAATTCATATTTCTTTTCTAGCTCTAGTATAAAATGATACAACTTGAACTTAAAAATTTTTTTGTTCATTTATTTTCTAAACTCAACTTACTGTTTCAGAAAAATGTTGAGAAATGAGAGGAACTTATCAGATGCCCCCTTTGTGGGGAGGCAAACTAGGCCCCTGCATTGGGGTGGCAAGTTGGGGACTAAGAACAAACTGCTCGGAGTGGACTCTAGGGAGGGGCACAGCATGTGCAGTCAAATACCGTAGCCTCTCTTCAGTTTTCTCTTCTGTGTTGTGTTTCTCTTCCTCTCTGAGGAGTCCTAAGTCTTTAAGAAAATATGAATCAGCATTTGTGTCTCATCTTACCTATGCTGTAGAGAATTTGTGCTTTGGGAAAAATGAAAAAGGGAAAACAACTGGAGAAGCAGACCAGTGACCAACTGAGACTACCTGGCGTAGCAGAATGGGACGACGTGGCTGGCTGAGGTGAAAAATGACAAGCAAAAGTTTGGGGACGATATACACACAACTTGAGAGCCCTAAAATGACATGAACGAGAGAAGGCAACCTGGTACGAGTCCAGGTTCCCATGGCCCACCGGAAAGGGCTTAAACTAAACTGCTTCCTCCCATGTTACTCAAAGAGCTGATGATATAGAACACACTGGGTTAGGGTGTGACCAGCAATTTTGCTGGTCTTATATTACTAATAAGGAAGTTTTAAACATAAAAGAATAGCAGTTACCTTTGCTAAAACCGATACAGAGTGCACCTTCTTTTTATCATGTACAATACTGTCAACGAGGTCAGCTACTGATAGCCCGACAGACCAGGATCTGTGACCCTTTACTTTCACCAGTTCCATGGCTCTAGGTTACAGAAAAACATGATCTCGGAAAATGTACAAAATATGCGCATCTAGTTTTACATTCTGCTTAAGTATTAATTAGATATTTTTATCACAGTTATAAAGCAATTGTTAGCACAGCCTACAGATAATCCAGTGATTATTTAAGCTTTTCTTAAGATGTTAGCTAGTTCGGGGACCAGCAGTTAGCGTAATGCCTATGTCACTGGACTCCCATGTAGTCGACCACGGTTTGAGTCCTGGACCCGGTAGCTTAAACTCACGCCGGGCGCGTGTGCGTGCGTGCCCAAGATCCTGAGAGGAGAATGGAGGAGAAGAGATTGTGGCGTGGCCATCCTCGCTGGGGGTGATTTCTCGCTTTCTATCTCTCTGTCTCTTCCTCCTGTCTGTCTGGCGAGTGCACGCGCCCTATAGTGAAAACCTCTCAAAAAAAAAAAAAAAAAAAAAGATGTTAGCTAGTTCACAGAGAGAAAGTATAAATGACCTAATAACATTAAAAGATGCCATTAATATTTAACTGAGTATGAATTAAAACAATAAATGTCAGTTTTGGCTGGCTATCCAATCTGGCCAAGACTGATAACTAATTTTTAAAAATTATTTTATTTAAAATTTATTTATTTTTACTTTTTATTCATTTATTCTTTTTTGAGAGAGTTTTTTTGCTATAAGGTGCATGCACTTGCCAGAAAGACAGAGAGAGACAGAAAGCAAGAATTCATCTCTTGGGGGGATGGATGACCATGCTGTAATCCCTTCTCCATTCTCCTCTCAAGATTTTGGGAAATATGCACATGTTCCCAGCATGAGTTTTAAGCTTCTGGGTCTAAGATTCAAACCTCAGTCAACTATGTGGGAGCATAGCAACGTAACCCTTACACTAGCTGCTGGTCCCAACATTAAATAATTCTTTAAAAAAAAAAAAAAGTATAAAACACCGCTCTCTACAAAGGCAATAACTAACCTCATCTACTACAACCAGACCCAGGCTGCTAATCCTTTCATTTTCAATCAAGGAGTTCACCAGGCTATGTCCTTTTTCAATAGTGGCGATATATAGTGATTTCTTTTCCCTTCTTTTAATTGGAGGAAATCTTCCTTTGCTTCCAGCATATTCTTCAACAAAGAAACCAAGTTCTATACCAAAATTTGACAAACCTGAAATCTAGAATATAAACAAAGATAATAAATAAATAAGAATTTTAAGTGCTCTCAGGGATTTTTAAGAAAGTTAAAATAATGTTTAATAGCAATCAATGAGAATAAGGCAGTTAAGGCATACGTATTTAAACAATAGCATATAAAGTGTTGATTCTTGCGAAATAATGCAACTTTTAAACTATCTAATTGTGGGGCCAGCAGATAGTGTGGTGGTTAAGGTGCTGGACTCCCATACAGTTGTCAATGGTTTAAGTCCTGAACCTGATGGCTTGCTTTCTCATTTTCTCTCCTTCTCTCTCTCTGTTGAGTGCATGTGCCCTTTAGCAAATTTTTAAAAATAAAATTAAATAGATAATTAAAGAAATAAGCTAGATAAAAAATGTGAAAACAAATTTCAGTTATCTCCTTTGATGTCCAAAAGTACCAGAATAACTCAAAATAACTAGTTTCTGCATGAAAAAACAGGTTATACAGTCAGCAGATGGAGTAACGGTTACATTGCTGGACTCACATATAGTCGAACATGGGTTGAGTCCCAGACCCAGTGGCTTAAAACTCACACCTAGTGCGTGTGCCCAAAATCCCAAGGGAAGAATGGAGAAGGGTGGCCATTCTCCCATTTCTCTCTCTTTTTCTCTCTGGGGAGCACACACATCCTATAGCAAAAATCTGTCTCCCCAAAAAAGTAGGTTAAATAGAATATTTCAGATGGAGTTTACTAGCATAGGAAAAAAAAAAAAAACTTTCTACAAGAGATCATTAAAACATGAAGAGATTTTTGGTAAGAACTTTATACCGCTTTTGTATATCCTAAAATATTAATTCTCTGTCACCAAGCAGAATTTCTTCTCAATTGATTAAGAGTCATTACATTTAGGGTAGTTTGAGATATTGATGTCAAAATGTTAGCAAATAATAACTTAAAACACACACACACACACCTTTTCTTGGACAATTGCCACATATGGAAGGATCATTAAAACATCTTTCCGTCGGCAAAGCAGCTCTTGTAGCATTAAGATTTCAGCCACGAGGGTTTTTCCACCACTTGTTGGCAAGGAATATATTAAATTTTTTCTTTCTTGCACAGAATTCAATGTTAAGCAAGTATGTTGCCATTCTGCCAAATTAAAAAAAAAAAATCATTATTCCCCCACCCATTCTCTCAATCTCAAGAAAGTCTTCTACAGAAAAATCAAATTCCCTTCCATATGGCAGTCTTCTCATATGGATAAATGCAATCACAACCTATGTCATGTGCCCAAGATCCTGAGAGGAGAATGGAGGAGAAGAGATTGTTGCGTGGCCATCCTCGCTGGGGGTGATTTCTCGCTTTCTGTCTCTCTGTCTCTCTCTGTCTGGCCAGCGCATGTGCCCTATGGCAAAAACCTCTCCAAA